GAAGCGATGGCCGCCGCCGCCGCCGCCGCCACTGGCCGGTTCTCCAGGTTTTATCGTCGCACGATAGCAATATGGAGCGATGGAAATTAAAATACAGCGATAAACGCGACGTCACTTTCGCGATTTCCCTGCGTTTTATTTCAATTTCGCCGCGTAATCGCGTTGCACCCGTCGTTCGCCAGCCGCGTGATAATACTGGATATTAAAGTTTCCTTCGGAATCGACTGTCAACGACCAATTTACCTGCAATTGCACGATCATTTCTCACCTAACGATCGTTCGACTAGTGAAACGGTCAGTCGCGAAGAATTCGCAGGACTAAATTTATTTCCACCGATAATAACTTCATTGCGAAACAATCGTCTATCTGTAATCGAGACTTGCAACACCTTTCTTATTCCCCCGTGGAAACCGAGCAAAAATCGCGCGCCGACAGTTGTTTAACGATCTCGCCACCGTTTAAATTCACCTCGCTAAAAGCGAGACGTTATCGAATATTCGAGGTGTACCATACGAACAGCCTCCGCGACGAGGCGTTAACGAGGCGCCGGGATAAAAGTACCCCAAGCTTCGACCAGTTTATAGTTCCTCCCGTTGGCTTGTTTTCTCGAAATAGGGTAGTTGGACTCTAGGACCAAACTCCGTTTCAATAAAACCTAACCCGGTATACACGGTCTCTCCTCTTCGCTATACAGAAATGGTGGACCCCAAGTGGCGAAGCTAAGAAAGACGCTTCCACGGGAGTTGCACAGCTCTAACTACACCTACACGTATATCTCGCATCATCCCTGTTCACCACCGTTCACTGACCGGGGCTACCACGGCCGGTATAATACTGTAGCACTATACTTTGCAGCCATTGTGAAATAACTCGTAAAGCTGCAAATTGCCGGGTATTTCGCTGCCATATACGTGTGCACCACCGCTCTTTACACCGTTTCCATGCGCGTGTGTGTGATCGTTACGAACTGGCTGCGTTTCTCGCGTACGTTGCCTCGATGTGTGTGTACATCTTAGCGACCAACCGCGAGCCACCTATCCACCAGCGGATCCTCCTCGCTATCGTTATCATTGTGATTATGCAAATGCGTTATCATTATGCAAACGCGCCGGCGCGTTCAGACGCGGCCCACGATTCGCGCTCGACGATCGTCGTTTGTCGTCGCTGCTGTCCTCGCTGCTGTCCTCGCTGATGGATTGGAATCACGAGAACATCTGGCGTCGTTGGAGCTTTTAGCTGGGATGTGTGTCGGATGATTTTTCTTTTTTACGAATTTGTAGAATTTTACGTGGTACACGGGGTGTTTACCGAGCGACGATACTCTCGTTACGAGTTTGCACCGTTGAAAAATGAGTTTTAACGGTGGGTAATATAAAGGGGACATCGAGAAGGAAGGCGATCGTTAATAATTACGCGAGCTCAATTAAGAATCGTCCAGGTTGAATTCCAGTTTCGTTTTTCTCCGGTGGTTTTGCGAAACAAAGCCGGTTGTATATTCGATGGCCTTGCGATACGAGAGGCAAAAGTCGCCTACGAATATTATATACCAGTTGCACCATTACCGCTCGTTCCTATCGAAACGAATAGCGTGTCGTAAAGTTTATCAGTAACGAACAATGTTATTTAGCTCGGGAACAGCTCGATAAAATCGTAATTTCCTCCTCCTCCGTGAATCTTCCGCAACGAAGAGAGTTGCGCGCCTCGAGCTACAAAACCCTCTTTACCCTTGGCAAGACCCCTGGACCAGTCACGATGTATTAATTAGTCGAGTGGACGTCCGCTCGTCAATTAATGTCCCTTTTTACGGATTCTCGATTTTCCTTTTCTTCTTTTCCGTGGACCGGCATTCCCGCCGGTCATTATCTCTCTTGTATTCCCCGCTTATCGATCAATTAGCAAGCCCATGCATGCAGAAGCGCAATTACGGCACGGTGCAACGAGATGATTATTGGACGAAGCTTCACGGAACAGGGAATTGTCCATTGTGCCACCCTTCGTTTCTTTCAACGCTGATGCTGCTGCTGTTGCAACGGTTTGTTAATTCTCCTATATTCTGGAAGGTAGAGCTTCTTCAAAAGGAATACACAACCTCTCTCTCTCTCTCTCTCTCTCCTCTGCCGCCTCTTCGTCTCTGGCTCGAAGAGAGAGAGAGAGAGAGATGGTAACTGGACGAGAAAACGCGTGGAACGAGGCACACTACGAAATTACCGACAACCAGTGTTCCTCTTGAGAACCGTGCCTGGCTAATCTGCTTACCCCAACAGAGGTGTGCAACACCTGCATCGCTTACCAGGTAAACGGTGTCCGACGGCGTCGATTTTTTCCCCCCTCCGAACGAAGAACAGACGAGAGAGGGAAGAAAAAAATCGAGGAACAATATATATTGACCCGCGGATTCTTCGTGTTTACCCAATAATTGGATGAGGCTTTAAATATGGCTATTAGGCTACCTACGCTTTCCGCTCGTGCTCGTTAGGAAGAACCAATTGCGGGCCTCGTTCGCGCCTCTTCTTCCACCTGCCTTTTAGACCTTCTCGAGTCCAGATTTCTCCACCTTCATCTCCTCATTTTTCCACGGTAACAGTCGGTTTCTCCCGGGGTAGAGCGCAATTGCAACCACTTGGCGCCCCATTTTCGATCTTCCTTCTTCGCGGAGTTCGCGACGCGTCGATCGGTTGTTTAGCTCGTAAGCTTGAGCAGAGTTTTTGATGTAGGGATCGGGGTATGTATAGGAGGTGTTGTCTCGATGTCGAATCGCTTGTACGATTCTAACTACGTGTAAAATGATGTTTTACGTTGGCTACTGTCGTGACCGCCGTTCCTCGCGATTCCATCGAGATAGGAATCTCATGCCTGGAGCATATCGATGGAATCGCGATATTTCTGTTTAGGCGACGGGCAAATT